CCACGTGTGTGATTACGATTGAAGATTTGAATTGTCTTCCCGTATTACCCTCATCCTGTCACGTGTTAAACTGTGATTGGTTTATACAAAATATGTAGCCAACATAAATAGAATCACCCCTTCTCTTAGTCTCTTCATTTTGGAAAATTCTATTTGTACACCATCTATTATGTTACTAGACATTATTCTACGTATATTTTTTGATTATGATTCTATCCCTCACAAAAATAACCAACAAAGAGATACACAGTCTCACCACTGTTGGTTGTTGTTGTAAACCTTAGCCACTACTGCCCTACCAGCCCCAATTCGTTCCTTCATCTTTGCGCTACCTCCCCTCACCCTTCCACACCTTCGCGTATCTCTCCCAACCCTCTCTATTGCCTCTCCCAGCCTTTCTCATCCTTTTTCACCTTCCCCACCTTCGAGGTGGTAGATTGAGAAAGGAGGGTGACAGAAAAGTGAGGGGAGCTAAAGCAAAGGTGGTGATGAGGCTGGGGAGCTGGTAGTGGTCAATGAATTTAGGGTCAAGGTTTGGGGATGAATGATGAAGATGAAGTCATTATAGAAATTTTAGTGGTGTGAATTGAGAAAAAAAAAAAAAGAAAAGAATAAAATCGAATAAAATAAAATTGTGTTAGGTGTATAAATTGAAGTTTCCTTCATTTTATATCTCACCCTGTCTCGTGAGACTCAATATTCCTCTATATGAAGAATATACCATCCGAAGAAAGTGTCAATATAAAAACTCAAAACTATTATATTTAAATATCGAAACAAACAATCATATTAGGCCACAAATGTACATAAATATGGTTATGTAAGATAGGATAGCTGTTTTCTATGATACTGATAGCAGCAGTGCTAAGTGCATATATACAAAACATAGAATGAGACACAGATGTCTCATAAAAGATGTGTCTTACATGATGCGAGGTTCACATGTGTGACTCATTTCTTGTGAAATATCTGTGTCCATTCATGTGAGATCCATCCTTTATGAAATATTTGTGTCTCATTCTGTGTTTTATTGTACAGATAGGGTGGTAATTCAACTCTTTGGCAGTTGGGATATAACCACAATAGAAGGTAGGAATCGAAAGGAAATAATAATATATTTAACTTTGGCAGTTGGTATATAACCACAATTAGGAGGTGGGAATCAGAAGGGAAAAAAATTAAAATAAATGAAAGGAACTAGGAGGACAAGCTGGCTGTTGGCTGTACCCTTTGGCAATTTTGTTTTAGTTTAATTGAACAATGCTCTTCATTTTAGACAAATTTGTTTATTATTATAAATTTATTATTATTTTTAGATCTGCAACTTGTCTGAGCTGAATTTCTTGTCTTGTGGGTACCTCGCTTGTAGTTGTTACAATCACTCCTCATTTATTATTATTATTTTTTTAATAATTTGTGTTTTCAACTTTTGCATTTTTTTTAAATTTTTTGACTAGTGGTTAAAAGGATGTCATTTGTATTGGAATCTTGCATCTGAATATACATTTGTGAAAAAAAAAAAAAAAAGAAAAAGAAAAAGTGATATATTGCAGTGTCTTTGTATTATTTATTCACCTCTAATTTCCATTTTTTTTTCTTCTTATTCCTATCTACATCTCTTTTGTGTGTGCAACTTAATATAATTTCGTTTTCATATTTTATAAAGCATGCAATTATTTTTTGAACCATGTAATCATCATACATAAAATCAAATTAAAAACAAAAAATGATTAAGATCGGTTAACTCAAGCTTATATTTGAATATAAGCTTTGCATTACAATGGTTTTTTATTCCTACCATCAAATAAAAATTAGGTTAAGTTTGATTGTGATTTTTGTTAAGATTTCAACTCAATGGTGCCCCCTCTGAGCCAGAATTTTGGCTCCGCCACTGTGTGTTTCCATCTTCTAATGAGAAGAGAGTACAAATGTAATTGCAATACGATAATTAAAATTAATGGCAATTAACATCAATCATTTGTAAAAATCATATTCAGGTTGGCAGACCCCTCACTAAATAATAAAGAAATAAAATTGTACTTGTCAGCACATCCACATCATTCATTGTATTTGCACATCCGTAATACAAACCAAATCACAAAAAATATATATGTATCATGGGGCTTAGTTATAGATTAATAAACATCACAAGGAATTCTAATTTAAACTTTAACAGGAATTTCTTCAACAGCCACAAACAATATGTTTAAGGATATTTCCAAAAGATTTATCAGACTAATTGAGTGGAAAGTGTCCGGACAACATTGTGGGACAATCACGTCAAGCCAGCACCTAAAGCTACACAGTGGGTAAAAGGCGCTGCTAGGCAAATGTCAGGCCAGCCATTTGTACGGTTCATGCTAACCCTAACCAGCCAGCTAAGAATCAAGTGCTAGTTCAGACCAGCCTAACCTCCACAAGCAACTTAATTTTCATCTAATAAATCAATGGTCGAACTTTAGATCATGCACATAATGTGATTCACAACTTAGGTTCTAACTCTGATATTAGAAATTTGATTATGAATTTGTAATTACATTAGCCTAATCAGATCCAATCTCAACATTACTTGGCTAACTACTAGTGCCAGGACACTCACTCCCTAGTGATTTGAATATAACCAGTAGTAATTATGCTCTTCTAAGCTTGCAAGCAAATATAATCACAAACTAGATTGACACAAGGCTATCCAATGTGTACTGACTCGCCTCCAACAATTATTTAGTGTGGGAAAGCTTTTAAAGATCAAGTCCAGTGCCTTCACATCTAGCACCCCAAGTTTCCATCACTTGAAGATGCCCAAAGCCAGGCTTTGAGCCTTGTATGGGTAGAGCTAAATGTCAGGCAACCCTTGAGCCCCAACACATGGCGGCTTTGTGGATGCAAAAAACAAACATTAATTGCATCACCCATAATGTTACATTTGGTCTCATTGCCAAATGATACTAACATGACTTGGAAGATATTAAAGCCTCGTTTGGGAACAGGCTAATTTAGTAACTTTTTGGCTATTTGGCTAAAATATGAGCTAAAAAAAACTAGTATGTTTGGGATGACTTTTTGGTTTTTTACGAAAAGATGTGCAAAAAGTAGAGAGAAAAGAGAATCTTTGACTTTTTGGTATGAGTTGTTAGTTTTTTGGCTAATTTAATAATTTTTTGACTTTTTAATTAAAAAAGATAGTTGCCAAACGAAGCCTTAGTAATCGAGTAAATGGAAGCACCCACCACCTTTTTCAAATTTTAATGCGTTATAAAAGTGTTTTAAAACCTTTTTAGAAAATATTTATTTATTTTGTTAATTTGAAATTTGAATCCTTGTTTGGTGGTGTACATTTTTTGGGATGAAAATCTGCCCATCTAAATTTCCGCCACAAAACACATACTTCCAAATTCTCTTTCTTCTTCTTCTTCCCTCTCTCTCTATCCTCCTCTCGAACCATACGTGGAAGAGAGATGACAAAAACAATGGTGGAATCAATGCCACCTAACCCTAATTCTATTGAACCACCGGCAACAGCCGGCGATCCTCCACCACCACCGCTGCCGCCCACTGACGGCGGCGGTGGCTTTTTATCGCTTCCCCGGCGGCCGGGCATAAGATTGACGACAGAGTTCGATAGCGACAGCTCGATATTCTTCAACAAGATTTCGTGCAAGTTGTTAGACAGTCTCGCGAAGCTAAAGCTATCGTTCCAGAACAACGACAAGGGCGAGATCTCCGAGCCCCAATTGGCTCTCACTTCCAAGTACCTCTCACTCCACTACGATCTCGAAGAACACAACGCTCTCATCAAGAGCTCCTTTGACGTTGGCCCTGCTTTGCACTTGAGAGCTGCTCATGATGTCAAGGTAACTCTCTCTCTCTCTCTCTCTAATTTGGTCTATGTTTGACTCTTGTGTTTTAATCATTGTGTCTTATTAAATTTCCTTTAACTTCGACTGTTGTGAATGACTGATGTACGGTGAATATTCTTAATTTTGGTATATCTCTGTCACTATGTATCATTTTGTTGATCTTCAGCACAGTTAATTTTCCAAACTCGAAACTCTTGCTTCTTTTATTGGGTGGGATGATTCAAAAAAAAGAAAATCAAAAAAAAAAAAAAAAAACCCCAAATGATCCGTTATGACCATTACATTACCAAAATGAAAAATAGTCATTTTATCATCATTTATGTTGTGTTTGGTTGAGGGATTTGAGGAGTGATTTGAAAAGGGAAATGGAAAAGGTAGGTGAAATATGAATAAAACATGCCTAAATTTCACATAGTTTCACACACCTTTTCCATTTCTCTTTCCAAATCCCTCCCCAAATCCTCTAACCAAACACACCATTAAGTAAAGAGAAAAAAGGTTTGATTATTGTTTCCTAACTTTGATCTCAACGTTTAAACCATAGGAAACATCAAGCTTCACAGTTTAGGACTACCCGAGTCGCATGCAATACTACAAAGGGACGGCCTGAGCCTTAGTTCAGTTAGACAATCGCCTACGCCCCACGTATTGTAAAATGAAGGGGTATCTGAAGTATTCTACGAGTGACATGCCAGAAGATTCACAAATGAGGGCCCCCTCTATTGTAGTGTTATCTGAAAAATATACTAATGAACATGTTAATGTTTGGCATTGTCCTCCAACGAAGGCCATTTCGATTCTAACACGAACTAAGTCTGTGGGTTTACTGGAGAGACGAAGAGATTTATTGTTAGGAGGTTTTGGGGAAAGTGGTTCAGTTATTCATGAACACAGAGGTCGTCTGAGTTTGTCTGAGATTGATGTACGCGGAGGTGGTGATGACACTAGTGATGTTGATTCTGGTCCGTCGATTTCGAAGGTTGGTGTTAGCAAAGAGAAAGTTGATCATAGAGGATTAGTCAGTTATGGATCCAGCAAAATTTTCTAATGTTTTACGAAATGTAATCATCAGTGTAAAAAATAGTGATGTGACTCAAGATGTAACAGTTGATAATAAGGAAAATGTAGTAAGTAAATAAAATTTTTAGTGGTTTTATAAATAAATTTAATAAAATTTTTCATTAATCATGACAGTGGTTACATTAACATCAAACCATTCTCTCATTTTTGGGGACATTGAATCTAACCAACTACCGTCCCCATTGGTTAATAAAATACAAGGAATTCCTCCTCTAATAGTGAGATCTGGTTGGAATTTAACGAACACATGGAAATCTCTCTGGCATCCTACTAAATTCTTCATTAATTCGATAGGTACTGTCGAGTATTTGATGTCGTCTATGACGTTTTAGACGGCGTCTTGGTCGTAGTCTTTGAAGCTTATTCTGCCGGAGAAGTAATTGTGTCGTCCGAGGCTTCTGGCCCAGGTGGTTTTACCTGTTCTTGAGGGTCCTTCGAGGTAGAAGGAGATTGGGCGGATGGGCCTCTGCTCTGGTTCCTGTTATCAGAGGAGGAGGAGGGTTCTCCGTCAGTATATAAATTGTTTATATTATTTTTGTGTATCCCTAATTTAAGGAAATCGTCTTCCCTCCAAACGGAGAGACAACAATTTTGACATAACTCGTATTGAACGCAATTTCGACTTACAAACAAAATATTATTTTCTGTCCATTTTTTTATTTCTTCATTTAAGAAAGGAAATGAATTAAAAGGGCTAGTATATGGGGGCCTCTCTCTTTTGTAATGATCCCTGAAAAATATTTTTAATTGGGGGTATTTTGTGACGTAATCGGTGGGACATCTTTCTTTATAGAGAGCAAAGAATTGTTCGTCCGTTTCTGCTTCGCCAAGTATTCTCCTCCAGAGTTCGTCTCTGTTTTTCGAAGGACTTTTCCCCTTAAATGAAAATTCTCCCCATTCGACGAACTCGCCCCCTTTCTGTATATACTGTCGACTTGCTGTTGGCGAGTGGAGTTTTTCTATATTTGAATAGTAGATCCTCCCATTGGTTCCAGTGAGATCGAAAAATCTCGGGTTGAAGGTTTGGATTTTTTCGTGCATTGAACCATGGCATGAAGGTGAGGGTTGCCATCTTCATGGAGCTCCCTTGCGACAAGTATGTAGTATGGCTGACAGGCTAGTTGGAGGAGAGATTAGAGGAGTTCTAAGAGTTGTTCTTTTGGGCATGGGCATTGTGGATAGGTGAGGAAAACATTCTTGGCATAAAAACGGAAAGAGACTTGGCGAGGCATTATTTAGCTTATTTAGTACTTAACACTTAACTTACACAGGTGTGAATGTTGTTTGTCGAGACTTTATATAGGGGGAGGTCACACCAGCTGGGGGGGCGCTATATATAATATTACTTGCGCCCCCCTGTTGAAATTGTATCCGTTAGGCAATTTCATCCGTTGATGGACGTACGGATGGTGACGTGTAAGGCGGAGATTAAATCTGTACTCACACCAAATAGTAATCACTATTTGGTGTGAGTAGCCGGGGCTTGGTGTGAGTAGACGTATTTTCAAGTCGATACTTCACCATCCATGGCACTTGTTTGTCGTTAATTGAACAATAACCATTCCCATAATAGACTAACTCGCATTGACAATCTACTGGGAAAATAAACCACGCCTGCAAACTGTCATTACCGTCTAACCTTCGATCATAAACATTTACTCTGACCAATCCACTAGCATTGGGTGCACAAAGGAGGGAATATTTTATCAATATTTTATCAACCTTAATACTTTTTTGTTTGTAGCTTAACCTCAATTGAGAAAATAAATTAAGCAACGCAAGTTCAATACAACTGAAATCACTTACCGAAACACCTTCAACAACCCCAGTTTTTATATCGTCCACCTCCATCAACCTGAACATTAAAAATAAAAATACATTAAATTATAATTCTATACAGTTTTAAAGTACATTTGACTCCTTAAAGTAATTTTGCATTCCTTTCCACTAACAGTAGCAGCCACTAAATATATGGCATCCTTTTGAATGCTTCCAACATTTCCCAACAGCGTATTTTTGTAGTCCGTCCAAACATCAACTGAGAAGAACCGGTCTACAACTTCTATCCCGTTACGAACGTACTCTTTGTCCTTGCCACCAATGAGCTTGAATCTCATTTTCTTTAGCATCCGAAACCGGTCGGATTGGTCAGGATCAACAATCCAGGTCTCAGGATTACCCTCGCCAACTCCAATAAATATCTTGTCAGGTGTAGGGACGGAATCTGACGGACTATTATCACTGATGACAAAAAACAACACGTGGTGGACCACAGCTTCGTCCTTAGCATCTTGTCCCAATTGAACATTACCAATGAATTTGATACCCTTAACCACAATATTGTCTGATTGACGGTCAGATCTCTTATTACCCAACTCAATACCATTAAGTAATCTCGCCACGCCTTTATTATCAAACTTAACATCCCTTAATTGTTCATCGTATAGCTGTAATTTCCTTACTCCTCTCTTAGTCTTCTTAATAAATCGGGGAATATTCTGAACGTACCGTCTGCGAACACACTGGGTCTTAAAAGGTGCACGACTACGGTAACTACGCCTATATCCACTGGCCGCCGGTGTTCTTGACCTCCGGTACGCAAGGGGGGTCCGGTAATGGCTGCTTCCTATTCCTTCCATTTTTTATAAATAACTCCAAATCTTTTATACGAACATTTCTACAGGATCTGTTACCTCTGCTAACCCTTCTGTTCAGACACCTTAGCTTTGATATTTTTGCCCTCTGCTTTTCGTACACCGGAACAAACTTCATCGGAGCTCTCCGCCGGCTCTCTTCCCACAGTCCTAGTTGCCACGTCAAAAAGCGATCTATACACATTTGAGTGAACTGCCCGTAATTCTCGAGATATTCTTCTAAGGAGTACAACATTGTATACCAAATAAATCGACAAAAATGGCAGAAAGAAAAGGGGGGGACGAAACAAGGTACCAGAAAATCACCTCAGTGTAATAACTCTCCAACTGCAAAAGCATATCTCTCTTATCTCTCTCCATCGACAAATATCTGAGGCTGGACGCAGATATATAGACAGCTGTAAATACGGAGATTCAGAATTTAAAATTTGAATTCCCGCCCATTACTATTCATTCACGCGGAATTCTGTGCTCCTTTGCTTTATATCCAAGCAAAACCACCACGATATGACACGTGTGTGGACAGGAGATGGCCACATCTATTCACACCAATCCCCGGCTACTCACACCAAATAGTGATTACTATTTGGTGTGAATACAGATTTAATCTCCGCCTTACACGTCACCATCCGTACGTCCATCAACGGATGAAATTGCCTAACGGGTACAATACAGGGGGGCGCTAGTAATATTATATATAGCGCCCCCCCAGCTGGTGTGACCTTCCCCTATATAAAGCCTCGACAAACAACATTCACACCTGTGTAAGTTAAGTGTTAAGCACTAAATAAGCTAAATAATGCCTAACCAAGTCTCTTTCCGTTTTTATGCCAAGAATGTTTTTCTCACCTACCCACAATGCCTATGCCCAAAAGAACAACTCTTAGAACTCCTCCAATCTCTCCAACTAGCCTGTCAGCCATACTACATATTTGCCGCAAGGGAGCTCCATGAAGATGGAAACCTTCACCTTCATGCCATGGTTCAATGCACGAAGAAGATCCAAACCTCCAACCCAAGATTTTTCGATCTCACTAGAACCAATGGGAGGATCTACCATCCAAATATAGAAAAACTCCACTCGCCAATAGCAAGTCGACAGTATATACAGAAAGGGGGCGAGTTCGTCGAATGGGGAGAATTTTCATCTAAGGGGAAAAGTCCTTCAAAAAACAGAGACGAACTCTGGAGGGGAATACTTGGCGAAGCAGAAACGGAGGAACAATTCTTTGCTCTCTGTAAAGAAAGATGTCCCACCGATTACGTCACAAAATATCCCCAATTAAAAACATCAGGGATCATTACAAAAGAGAGAGGCCCCCATATACTAGCTCTTTTAATTCATTTCCTTTCTTAAATAAAGAAGTAAAAAAATGGGCAGAAAATAATATTTTGTTTGTAAGTCGAAATTGCGTTCAGTACGAGTTATGTCAAAATTGCTGTCTCTCTGTTTGGAGGGAAGACGATTTCCTTAGATTAGAGATACATAAAAATAATATAAACAATTTATATACTGACGAAAAACTCTCCTCATCCTCTGATAACAGGAACCAGAGCAGAAGCCCATCCGCCCAATCTCCCTCTACCTCGAAGGACCCTCAAGAACAGGCAAAACTGCCTAGGCCAGAAGTCTCGGACGACACAATTACTTCTCCGGCAGAATAAGCTTCACGGACTACGACCAAGACGCCGTCTACAACGTCGTAGACGATATCAAATACTCGACAGTACCTATTGAATTAATGAAGAATTTAGTAGGATGCCAGAGAGATTTCCATGTGTTCGTTAAGTTCCAACCAGATCTCACTATTAGAGGAGGAATTCCTTGTATTTTATTAACCTAGTTGGAGGAGAGACTGGAGGAGTTCTAAGAGTTGTTCTTTTGGGCATGGGCATTGTGGGTAGGTGAGGAAGACATTCTTGGCATAAAAACGGAAAGAGGCTTGGCGAGGCATTATTTAGCTTATTTAGTGATTAACACTTAACTTACACCGGTGTGAATGTTGTTAGTGGAGGCTTTATATAGAGGGAGGTCACACCAGCTGGGGGGGGCGCTATATATAATATTACTAGCGCCCCCTGTTAAAATTGTACCCGATAGGCAATTTCATCCGTCCATTAACCAGAACATTAAAAATAAAAATACAGCAAATTACAATTCTAAACAGTTTTAAAGTACATTTGACTCCTTAAAGTAATTTTGCACTTCTTTCCACTAACAGTAGCAGCCACTAAATATATGGCACCCTTTTGAATGCTTCCAACATTTCCCAACAGCATATCTTTGTAGTCCGTCCAAACATCAACTGGGAAGAACCGGTCTACAACTTCTATCCGTGACGAACGTACTCTTTGTCCTTGCCACCAACGAGCTTGAATCTCATTTTCTTTAGCATCCGAAACCAGTCGGACTGGTCAGGATCAACAATCCAGGTCTTAGGATTACGCTCGCCAACTCCAATAAATATCTTGTCAGGTGTATGGACGGAATCTGACGGACTATTATCACTGATGACAAAAAACAACACGTGGTGAACATTACCAATGAATTTGATACCCTTAACCACGATCTTGTCTGATTGACGGTCAGATCTCTTATTACCCAACTCAATACCATTAAGTAATCGCGCCATGCCTTTATTATCAAACTTAACGTCCCTTAATTGTTCATCGTATAGCTGTAATTTCCTTACTCCCCTTTTAGTCTTCTTAATAAATCGGGGAATATTCTGAACGTACCGTCTGCGAACATACTGGGTCTTAAAAGGTGCACGACTACGGTAACTACGTCTATATCCACTGGCCGCCGGTGTCCTTGACCTCCGGTATGCAAGGGGGATCCGATAATGGCTGCTTCCTATTCCCTCTATTTTTTATAAATAACTCCAAATCTTTTATACGAACATTTCTACAGGATCTGTTACCTCTGCTAACCCTTCTGTTCAGACACCTTAGCATTGATATTTTTGCCTTCTGCTCTTCGTACACCGGAACAAACTTCACCGGAGCTCTCCGCCGGCTCTCTTCCCACAGTCCTAGTTGCCACGTCAAAAAGCGATCTACACACATTTGAGTGAACTGCCCGTAATTCTCGGGATACTCTTCTAAGGAGTACAACATTGTATACCAAATAAATTGACAAAAATGGCAGAAAGAAAAGGAGGGACGAAATAAGGTACCAAAAAATCACCTCAGTGTAATAACTCTCCAACTGCAAAAGCATATCTCTAATTTAATTAACAATTCATGTAACGTAACTACGTGAACGCATTCAAATTGAATTAGAAGATTCTTGTGCACATATTGTGCTTCTAAGCATAAACATATTTTGAGACCACTCCATTTAGCTTTTCGGCTTTTAGCTCTCTAATTTACAAAAGAAACATTTTTTCATTTTGCATTTTGAAGTAATCTTTTATTTCTTGTATTTGGAACTTTTCTTTTCTTGCAATGTTTCTTGAATTAAACTGGTTCCTATTATTGTTGTTCGTATTGATGGGGATCATAAAGGCATTGGATAAATAGAAAATTGAAGGCTTTGTTTGGTTATGTTTGCCAAACACATTTCTACCCATTTTCATGAGTGTGGTGTTTGTTTTGCGTTTTCAAATTATAATTCCACACCTACTTTTGAAAACTCCTTTCCAAGCAGAAAAATTTGGCTAACCTGGTCGTCCTCCCAGAACCGGAACAGTGTTCGTTTTTTTTCTTTTTTTTTTTTTTTTTTTTGCACATGTTATTTTTATATTGTAAATCAATTTTTTTTCGGAATTTTGTTAATTTTTATATTAGCTTTTAATGGAATTTTAGGTTGTGTGTTTGGTTATGAGTTGTAAGTTTTTGAATCAAATAACTTTTCTAATTTCAAAAACTCAAAACTTCTTCCAAAACTCAATTTAAAACTCTTTTCAAAACTCATAACCAAATTAATTTTCCGCACTCAAAATCATAATTCCAGAGCTTACAAACTCAAAATACAACTCTATTCTCAAATCATATTTAGAAAACGCTACCGAAGATTTTTTTATTTATAAGCTTGAATTCAATTTAAAAGTTTATTAGGGTAGTGTTTTATTTTTGGTACCTTTTATTATGATTTCCTAGGATTCCTATATATATGGCTTTTATGTTACAGTTTTGGAGACTAGACTTGATAAATGTTGATTATTGAAATTGATATTAAGAGTTGTTTTGAGATTGTGATCGCTAATTTATTCTTCGTCTTTGTTATGCTTCTATTATTCTCCTGTGCCACATCACCTGTACTAAGAATTTTCAGTTTGTATTGTGTACCGTTCCATGCTTTTATTCTTACATGAATGCTATACATCCCTTAGGCACAACAAGGAGAGGTGGCAATTGTTGCAGATCTTGCCGGTCCTGCCTACAAATTTGAACTGGTATCTGCTGTTCCATCTGTTGGCCTGGTGAGAACAATTCTTTGCATGAATTGTACACATTTGAGCTACTTGTAGCAGCACACAATTTTGGGTCACAATTTGTATATACCTTGAGCTATTGAAAGCATATCTCAATGCGACTCTTTTAGCTGATGATTTGAGATAGTGTTTTGGTGGCTTTGGTACCCTCATGCATTACCTCTTTTGCTATATTTCTACAAGGTTATTTTATTCTCTAATTTCTTTACTTGCCTTTTGGGTGCTGCAGCCAAAAGCCACCTTTAATTTTCCTCTTGGTGAAATTTCATTGGAGGAGAAAGAGGAGGAGGAAGTGAAGAAAATGTTGTCAATAAATGGAATCGTCAAAGGTCATCTCTTGAATGGGGTTTGCACTGCTCAATACGAGGATGAAAACATAAATCTAAGATACTTGTACAAGGTATTTTTCAGCATTCAGTTCATCAAATGCATTTTGTCTGATTTTTTCGTTTTGGTCGAAATTTCTTCTTTGGATGATCACGAACTACCCTCAAATATTGTTTCCAAGGCTAAGTGTGGGTGGTGGTGAGTGAATAGGATGGTTGTGGAGCCCTACGAGAAATATGGCAGTCTTTGAGGTGGTGCCAAGTCACCGGAAATGGGTTGGTTGAAAACAAAGGCAGTACTGTTTTTTTTTTTTTTTTGGGGGGGGGGGGGGAAGCGGGGAGAGAGAGAAGAGGAGAGCAACAAAAGCAAAACCCCATTTTTTGTCGGAGGTTGGGCCTGGAAGTCAACCAGCTGGAGTTAATTGGAGAGAGAATGGGACAAACCATCAAAATCTAGCCACCAAGTCACAAGATCTTGTCATTCTACACAAGGTTCATAGGATTGCTCGGCTCCCATAACCATATCACCAATCCTGAGAGTGGTTTTGAAATCCAGCTCTAGACCTAGGTTAGTGGGGTTTAGAGTGCCTTTGGAGAGTAGTGTAAAATGTAGGTCAAAAGAGAGATGGTTGAGCCAAGCAGGCTAAGAGAGGCTTGAGCATGTTTTTGACATGAAAGGAGATGGGTGAGGTTGGATGGGAGTTCATTCTAGTAGGGGGTACTGAGTGCTCCAAGGAGGCTCCTTGGAGATTGACTCTTGTATGCATTGGCTTGTACCATGAACAGGGGCCTCAGTTTGTACGGCTTCA